ATTAACAAGAAAGCCTGAAACTAAATAATAATTTCCCAGGTCCTAGAATAGTATGTGGCATATAGCTATTGAATGAATATGAATGAATGCATTCATGAATGAAAAGCAAATGAATATCAACTCACCTGGGATGTAAAAATGAATGTGTCTGAGAAACATGGTCACCCTCCTGCTTTATAACAGGATACCATGACTGTAACTCCATTCCTGGTGGTGCATCTGTCTGTAGAAAAATATGGAAGGGAAAATGTTTATTCTGGGGAAAAATGCGATGGTTAATTTTACATGTCAACTCAACTGGGCCACTTGATGAAGAGTTACATTAAATGAGTCATTTTCTAATAAGGCAGTCTTTCCTTAAAGTATCATGTCCAGTCACTTGAAATTCAAGAGACAGCCACATGAACTATCCCATCACAAGAACATCACAATGCAAGGTTTTTGTAGTTGTTGTTGTTTTTAGACAGGGTCTCACTGTGTTGCCTGGGCTAGAGCGCAGTGGCATTATCATAGCTCACCGCAACCTTACACTCCTGGGCTCAAGCGATCTTCTTGCCTCAATCTCACAAGTAGCTGGTACTACAGGCACACACCACCAAACCTGGCTAATTTTTTGTAGGAACAGGGTCTTGCTCTTGCCCAGGCTGGTCTCAAACTCCTGGCCTCAAGACATACTCCCACCTCGGCCTCCCAAAGTGGTAGGATTATAGGCATGAGCCACCGCGCCCAGTACAGTATGCATGTTAACATGGATTACCAGGAATGATTTCATCAAATTTCATACTTATGGAATCTACTTTAAATAATAGCTCTCCTCCAGCCACTCAAGATGCCAAAAGGAAAACAGGCAACGGAACAGAAGGTGGCCCTGGCCCCTGCTGTCATGAAGAAGCAGGAAGCCAAGAAGGAAGTAAATCTTCTATTTGAGAAAAGGCCTAAGAACTTTGGCATTGGACAGTATATCCAGCCCCAAAGGGACTTCACTCACTCTGTCAAATGGCCCAGCTACATCCGATTGCAGCAGCAAAGAGATTTCCTCTATAAGCAGCTGAAAAGTGCCTCCTGTGATTAACAAGTTCACCCAGGTCTTGGACTGCCAAACAGCTACTCAACCTCTTAAACTGGCCCACAAGAACAGATGAGAGACAAAGCAAGAGAAGAAGTAGAGACCACTGGCCCAGGCTGAGAGGAAAGCTGCTGGCAAAGGGGATGTCCCCACTAAGAGGCCATCTGTCCTTGAAGCAGGGGTTAATACTGTCACCACCTTGGTAAGATCAAGAGGGCTCAGCTGGTGGTAACTGCACATGAAGTAGATCCCATCAAGCTGGTTGTCTTCTTGCCTGCCCTGTGTCAAAAGCTAGGGGTCCCTTATTGCGTTATCAAAGGGATGGCCAGACTGGGGTGTCTAGTCCACGGGAAGACCTATACCACTATCACCTTCATGCAGGTTAACTCGGCAGACAAAGGAGGTCTGACTAAGCTGGTGGAAGATATCAGGACCAATTACAACGACAAATACGATAAGATCTGCCGTCACTGCAGAGGCAACAGTCCTGGGTCCGAAATCTGTGGTTTGCATTGCCAAGCTGGAAAAGGCAAAGGCTAAAGAACTTGCCACTAAACTGGGTTAAATGAATACTGTTGAGTTCTCTGTACATAAAAATAATAAAAATTCTCCTTCAAAAAAATTCCCAAAATTTATAAAATCAATAATAGTACTCTGCAAATGTACAGCACTGGGAAGTTCTAATTCTTATTCTTGCTGTTACAATCAGCTAGAGTATACTCTGGCCCTACAGTATTTGTTAGCATATTAACTAGACAGCATTCTACAGCAAGAAATATTTTGCCAAACTAAACTCAAAATCACTTTGTTTGTTAACACTCATATTTCCTGATAAATATGAAAAGCATCTTTAGTGCTCAAGCAGAAACTATAACTGAAAATAAAGGAAAAGGAGAAAGGTAACCAGCAAGTTAATAAGTATCTACCTGGTGAGAACTTTGAACATCGTGCTTAATTCTAACAAATACCCTCTACTAAGTAGGTATCATTATCTCCATTTTATAGATTAGAAAACTGAGGTTCAGAAATTGAGGGAGGAAAAAAGAATAAATGACCTGTGGTTACTAACTTCTCCCTTATTTTGGTTTGCTTTATACTTCATTCCCCACATATTTCATATTACAGTAATTACCCTGCTCTTGTGGAGAAAGAACACCTCAACACCTCAACAGAGGGGCAAGACTCACTGGCGGAAGAGGGAGAGAGGAGCTGAAAGGTCGCATGGTTAGGGTGAGCAATGAAGACAGGAGGTTAACAGACAAACCCAGTACAGTGAGGGAGAATGGGATTAAGAAGGAGTTAAAGGAAGGATAAGACAAAAAGGAGAACTGGATGTTCTGAACCCTGCCTCTGAGAGGCTCCAATCCCTCTGCAACCAGGCAGGGTGTATGGGGAATGACAACTTCACTCAGTAACAAACAAAACCGCACACAGGGGATAGCAACTAAACATCAAGAAATCAGGAATGCTGTTTTGCCTGATGTCTCAATATCAGGGTGGGACCCAGTTCACAACCAAATAGACTAAGGAGTGGAAAGGAAACAGATGTCTTGGTGTTAAGCAGCCGTCATCAAAGCAAAATCAATTCTAAACTGTCCATGGTTTGATTAGGGAAATTCTGTTAATGGAGAAAACCAATGAGGGTGAAGAAATTTAGGATAGACCTAACAGGTAACCCACCACCCCCCTCCAAAAACAGGCTGAAAACAGAGAGAAAACAGCTCCTGGAACACACATTACACAACTTGATCAATCAGTTGACAATTTAAGGCCAAATAAAAGCCAAAAATAAAATACAGTAACTTGTAGGAGATCATTATTTTTAAGAATATAGATTGGGCAAGGAATTTGAAAGATTAACAAGACCTCGAAAATTTTAAATTATTAAAGAATACTTTTAAAGAATTTTAAAGAATAATATTTTAAAAGGATTTACAAGTTAAGTTTTCAGTGAGGACCTGTAAACTATACATAAGAATAGAATTTTGTTTTAAAAATCTCACAAGCATGATCAAATATTCTAAAGATTCAAATAAACCTTACAATTCTGATCTAATAAAAAATCTGGGCAAATTCAATTGCTTATTTATAAACCAATCATTTGTTCACAGAGTTTCTCAACATACAGCTTAGTTCTAACAGTAAATTAGAAAGGGAACTGACTTCTGGCAACAGAAATACTAAATGATAGATGCTAGGTGACAGCTGACAGCCTAAGGAGAGAGGAAAACTACAAGACGCAGACACAAAAACTGCTTCAAAAAGCAAGATAATCTGAGGGCTTTGCATAGGCCAGGAAAAATAATTTAATAAATCTCAATTGTCCCCTACCCCCAACTCAACTGAGTATAGTAATTGATATTTAAGAAGTCTTGAAGAAGGCCGGG